AATTGAAGCTGTTTCTATAATACAAAATTTAATTAAACAAATAAAGAATGCAATATAAATTATAATAGTGATTAAATCTATTGATATATAGTTAATAAATCTAAATTATTTTAATTTGATTTAGAATATTAGGAGGAGAATTGTATAATTTTAAAAATAATGAGTAAATTTGAGAATATTTAAAGAATTAGATTAATTGAAAATTTTATAGCTTTACATTCCGTTAATAAAATTAATTAAGATTGCAAATAGCTGGTTTATATACCAATTTTTTATATAAGACTAGAGTAGGATTGACCAAACATTTCCACAAATACATTTATATCAAATATGGTCTTAATATGTTTTTTATCTCTAGACTTGATTTATAAATGAACAGAGAAGACTAGAAATAACAATATTAGAGATATTAAGTTAATTTTAGATCTAACAATTAGTACTTTATGAAGTCAATCAAAGGTATAAGTGATATAATCCCATATCGATTAAGTAGAAATGATTAGTCAATTAAAGTTTAAATAAATATTCCTGATTCAATTCTTCAGTCCATATAACAATTGGAAAGAGATCTTTTATATTTGTCAAATGGATTAAATTTTTAATTAGTTTGACATCTTTCATTTTAATAGAACAACTGATAAAGGTTAAATATTATATAAAAAATAAATATTTATGTTAATTAAGCTATTCAAAAAATAATAATTATATAAAAAAGTGATGTAGCACGGCAAAGTTAAAAAATTTAAAGAGAAAATGAATAATTGTTAATAAATTAATTCAAGAGCTAAATATTTTCTATATATGACCAACGTAATTTTTCATCTAGTTTACTCACAACTCTAACTTATATTTTTCCTTATCCTTTTACATTTCATTTTTTTACTCTACTTTTTAAATTCATTTATCTTTTATTATTTGTAATTTTACTTTTTTATTCTCTTTATAAAATCACAATTTTCATATTAGATTTCCATAGCTATATTTATCTATTTTGCAATCATTTTATAGCTCATATTATAAAATAGAATCCATATTTTCATAATTTACTCAACAGAGTAAGTTAACCTGATCATCAGAAATATTTATAAACTTAACATTATAATTAATTTTTATGCAATATCAATATCAACAAAATTTTATCACTCTAAGATTTGTCAATTTAATATTTTATCATACAAGAATAAGTGAAATAATTTATAATTAAACCTTTAAAAATTTAGATATA